CATGCGAGATCGTTACCCACGCCTTAGCAGGCTTGCGCTAGACGTGCTCTCGATACCAGCGTCAAGCTGCGAGTGTGAGCGCATGTTCAGTGAGCTTGGGGATCTACTAGAGCCTCGCCGACGAGGCATGCAACCGCAGCTTTTGGCGGCGATACAGTGCGTACGACGGTGGCGTAAAGCTGGTTTAGGCAACGATAATATTAGCTCAAAAGTCACTATAAGTGATGATAGTATAGAGACGTTGTATGAGCTGAGTAAGTGGGATAGCGATATCAATAGTGATAGCGAAACTCAACACCAAGAATAGTCGCTGTAGCTATAGCTAATATTATCTACTTAACTAGCTTTGAAAAAGACGCTATGACCATCAAGCTCATCAAGCTCATCAATCAAGCTGGCTTGATACACCAAGCCAAGCTGAGTCAAGCCAAGCCAAGCTGACAGTTTTGCTTTTGCCTATCAAGCTGAGGCAAGCCAAGCTGGAGCTTGGCTTGGCTTGATTGTTGACATCTCTGCTATACAGTCCTCGCTCATCGTTGAACATGCCAACATCATGTACATGCCAGCACTCTGGCGAGACTGCATGATGCTGTACGAATGTAGCTCGCCAAAAGACGTACACTACTGGTTACAGCAGATCATTCTATTGTGTTACCTCTATTGCAAAAACAGTGCCAGCAGCAATAGCAGCAACCCTAAGAAGCTGGACTCTTTTGTCAGGAATTGCGCACACATAGCAAATCGATACGACATCGACTTGCACAGCATCTTCACTTTTCCGCAACAAGAATTATGGCTATCCGAGATCATTGCGTAAGATTGAATAACAGTGCTTTTTCTGGGTCTCCTGAATAACTGGCGAGAAATAAAGGGGCTCTATGTATTGCAGAACGCAACTTATTGTATGTACGATTAGCTAGGAACTTTACCATCCTTGAAGAGAGATACTCTGACTGTTGTACTAATTTCATGATGGGAGATACCATGGCGGAAATCGAAAAAATGATTGGAGGACCCACGATAGATGTTGGGAACATAATCTACAGTGGTTCTTGATGAGGACTCGATTTGTACTATTTCTACTCTACTTGTACTTTAAATCTCTTAGAAACAGAGGAAGGTTGACAGTTCATCAATAGAATTCATAGAGGGAATTTCATTGTTAGTATATCAAACACAAGGCTATTAAGTATAAGGATATGAAATTAATACTAGAGACAACTTGTGCAACTTCTCTAATTAGTCGCTTCCTTGTCAAGAGAGAATTTGCCCAAGACGAACAGAGCGGTTCGGTGTTTGACATCAAGCCCTGGAGCCTTTGTCGAAGGCCTCCGAAGACGTCCGCTCATTCAGTCTCCATCCACCAGCCAACTGATTGGCCAGAAGGATTTAACATTAGTGCCAGCACCAACCAGTGACAAAATCCGCGTTCCCGTTATAGGCAACCGACCATACGTTCTTGCAGTGGACCTGCCATAGGTCTCCATCAATTCCTCGTCCAATCCCCTTATCAACACACTAGAAGTATGTAGTAATTAGTAAAGTCTTCAGCTTGTGGTGAGTTTGGATCTTTCCAACTTACAGAGTAACCATCTATAGCAGTATTAGCATGCTTAGAAGAGGGTCAATAAGTAGGAACGTAGGGACGTACCAAAATGCGTATGGGGTTCACCCGATGCAGCCCAATCAGAGCAAGTAGAATCGGTAAGGTCGGTGCGGTATTGACCACTGACCCTGCAGCCACAGTTATGGTATGGCTTTGCAGTCACGCTGAAACAAGTTACAGAAGGTTAGCGATACTAGAAAGACAGAATCCAGTAGGGGGTACTTTACCTGCCCATGAGGGACAAGACTGTGATGAGAATCGTAGAAGGAAGCATTTTGTCTGTAGATTATTGACAAGAGGAGGTTTTCTGGGGCAGATTGTTCTTTGTGATGGTTCAGCTGAAGCTCTTGGAACTGAGTTGATGAATGAGAAGCTGCGAAACAGCTGCATCTTTATATGTATTGTTCCAGTACGCATGAGATCACACATCCTTGACATGAGCACACATTCCTGACACTGCTACACCTTCTCGAAATGATCACGCATCCCCTTTTGGCTTGAGCAAACATTCTGTTTGAAGTTGACCACGCATCTTCACGAAGCGTGCTCGTGTAACTGCAGTTTATTGGTTGTGGATAAAATCTCCGTTTTTGCCTGACGGTCCGAACAATAAGCTTTGGCCCCCGAGTTTTATTGTATACTGTAGATTCAAAGATTTTACTTAATAGCATGTACTTAGTAGGAGAGGGTGGTGGTATAGACGTGGTGTCTAGTCCCGTTCATCGGACCGAAAAAGGTTGGTTTGGCCGCTAGGGCTTACTAACATTTTACGAGCCTAATATGTATCACTACTACATGTGCCGACTGCAAGAACGTTGATTGGTCAGACTTGTAGTCAGCTTCTTCCGGTTGACGAAAAGGTACGGCCATTAGGGCCTACTCTCTATATACAGGCATGATCATACTGGATGAATTGACATATAGCGCACAGAGGCACATCTTATGGCTTGAGCACGTTGTTCTGATCAGCCAGGATAGCAGGGCGCCTCAGTCACAACGGCAGAATAGAGTTTTAGATGAAGATCATAACTCTTTCTTCCAAATTAGAGCATGTTCTCGACACATTGAAGCAATTTACTGAGTACACGTGAGCGTGACAAAGTGTCCCATACGGCTTCAGACTTTTGTTTCTTGAGAAAGGAGGCACAATGGTGAGAAGGAAGACACAGTGGTGATGTCTGTCGAAATCTATAAGAACAGGTAGAACAATCTCCAATGTTACTCATCATCCACATCCTTCTCAGACACTCTCAAAAGCTCAACTCTTGCTAAACACTCTCAACCTCATAATCCTCATCACTACCTTGTCAAGATGCGCTTCTCTTCGTTTGTCACTGCCTTGTCCTTGGCATCCACTGCTCAATGCTACGTGGTATCGGCAGCAACTGCAGTAAACAAAACCGGTTGCGTTACTGCCGAGCATATTGAAATCATGCGCGATGGGCTGTTGCATCTGTCGCAGGAATACAAGTTTCCATTCCCAGAGGGATTTCCCCACCCCAGCGACCTTCGCGGCAAGGACCCCAACGAATGCGTTCCAGAGAGCGCTTCAGACGCTGTCACAGACGCTTTGGTCAGGGCCAGCAAGGTCTTTGACTTTGAAAGCAAGTACGCCGAGTACATGGGACATCCCACGACCCAACTGGCCAAACGAGCCCGCACTTGTCAGGATATTGAGCAGAGTGCTGAGCAAAGAACAGCCAGTACTTGGAGCTGTCGGTCTGCTCCACATTTTAACGCATGCAAATCTTGCACCGCCCTCTCAACCGTTGGCTACATTTCCTACATTGGAGTCTGTCTCTCCAAGCAGTTGACCGAGACTGTTCCCTGCTGCATACTTGGGACGACGATATACATTGCCGCTTACTCAAACGTTTGCTTGAGTAAGTAAACCACGACGGAAAATCAAAGTGTCTTCGGGCAAGAAGCAAACGCGTGGTGGGATAGGGCTGTCGAGGCTCTGTTGTCAGCAATGAGGTGTTCAACTATATGGTCACTATGTCTCTAGGGCCATGATTTTAGTTGGCATTTTATTAATGGGGGCTTTGGAGGTGTTTGGGGTAGGGAATCTGGAGATGGTCGAAGATGTTATCAGCACCTTGTTTCGTTTTGTTGAACTCTCTTCCTAACTTTCACACTCCTTTGGCATGGATTTAGAGCACAGAATCGAGCTTTCTCTTATAAACCCTCTCAGGCCTTGCACTTGTGATCACCCAGATAATATCATAATGCATACTATAGCCCATAGAAAATTCCTTGTCATTGGGGGAATACAGATTCATACGGCCCGTTACGGTGCTGAAAACGGGTGCAGCTTTGGCGATTATGTTGTTTAGGCTGTACTAGGTTTTCTAGCCGTACTAGTGTTTAGGCTGTTGTCGCTATTCTAACCGTTTTAGCGTTTTGTTATATAACAATACGGATTAGCTATTCTAACATCTAGGTAATAATCTGTTAGACCGCAATATCTACTGCTAGATAGAAGCCCGTTAGTTTGCTGTGGCTTGTATTGAAAGACTAAGAAACTAACATTAGACGAGTTATCGAACACGTCTTAAGATTCTAAAGAGTGAGCAAGCTATCGTAACATGCATAAGTACTAGTAGAAGCTCGTTGCGTTTATCAAGATATTATCAGTAAATAACACTTACCTTGATTTGCAAAGGAAAAGGAAAAAAACACTCTGTACAAGGAATATATCGCGACATAAAGAGAACAAATCAAATTTTATATTGACTAGCTCGTTATGGAAGTAGATAGTCTTCGTTTTATGAATGATTTCGACGCTCTGAGCCAGCGACTTTCACAACGCAGTAGAGTACATATGTATTATATGACAGCCGTGCAGTACCATACCCTATACCTCACTACTATATCCTCTTGCAACTCTACTGGATCGTGAAATCTAGTGCGTTAGCCTGTCAGAATCACGCATCGAACAAATATCAATATTCATATACAATCAAACAAATAGTTATAATCAGTTGTACTTGGTGATATCTCATATATTCCCGCACCTACAAAGTCTAGCGTTAAGAGGTATCCAATGGATACTTAAACCACACCATAACTCAAACAGGAGGTCGACCATTTTCAACATAATTCGAATTTCTGCTACTGAGAGCTTTGTTTTCCCAATAGCTGATCTGCGAATAGTAGTGCTTAGCGAGGTAGCAGTATGCAATTATTGCAGCTTTAGCTGCATATCTAAGTTAGGGTTACAGGGGTGAACGTGCAAGAAAACACCACCGCTAAATTAGCTCTAGGAGGCTTTGTAGCTATGAGCCCGGCGGATGCTAAGATTTCAACAATCTCTGTCTTGAGGTAGAACAGCTAAGCCGTCTGATTGCATGACGAACGCCAGAGTAGTCAGAACAGCATAACAGCATAGTAGCAGCTAAAGCTTCACCCCTGTTCAGCATCGTAACAGGCTGTAGGGGTGTTGATAACAAAAGTGGCGTTGTTGGATTCTAAAAAGTTCGTTCACGATATAGCATGGAGAGAAATGGGAAGGAAAAAGAAGGTGTATGTATTCATGATGAATGCCATATAGTACTCATAACCGAGAATGTATTACGATCAGTTTTCCGAACTACCTATCCAAGCAGGGCAATATCCTCGGTACCAATACCTAGGATTCGTGGTAGGCCTTCACATCGATCCAGCCCACGTTCCGCGTACCTGCTGCGGTCTTGCGTCCCAGAAGATCTCGCTGAACGTCCTGGACAAAATCCCACGGCATGGAGGACAACACGCCAGCTGAGTCCTCGTCTGCCAACCTGACCTAAAGTTCGACAATCAAGCGTCTCGCTGGCGAGCCCTCCGGGGTTCCTCCATAGATGATGTCTACGGGGCCCGTGCGTGAGCTGCGATGACAGTCAAAGGGGTGTCTATGCATTGCCTCAACGAAAGCGTCCATGACGTCGTTCTTGAAGTCAATGTCGAAGAGCCTCTCACCCATGACGTAGCACTCGCTGAGGGTATCGTATTCGCCAGGGCCGTCCGTGCCATCTCCTGTGATGATGGTAGGGAGAGTCTTGCAATACACCCAATTCAGGTAGATGCCAAAGATAACAGGGTCCTCGTCAGTGAGATCGATATCTCCGGTAGCATGCGACGCGGACCATGCGGGCTTCAAACAGTTGTTGAAGAACTTTGAGGTGTTGCTGATGATGCCGGAGTGGACAATGTACTTCTCAGGCTTGCTGCCGACGTTCACGGTGACGACATCTTGCATACTAAGAACATGTTAGAAACGCCATAATAAGTGGATGATCGACGCACTTGACAGCTGCTTCCACAGGAATGCGGCCATGGTCTGGCTTTTTCTTGGTAGTCATCTTCTTGGTCTATCTTGACGTAGATGATTGGAAAGGTGTTCAAGGAGGTTGAGTGGCTGGTGTAGGGAGATGAAATCATACAGGCCCAGTAGAGTTTAAATAGAAAAAAGCAAGAGCAAGTTACAGAATGCTTAGCGAGACCAAGCTAAGCGAATGTGAAGGTGAAGGTGAAGGGAAAAGAGATCCACACGTGTGATTGGCGCAGCTAGGCAAGTATCTCCTTCCTCTTTTGTTTGGGTCGTCTCTGTTATGAACTTTCGCCCTGCTGTGGCTTTCACCCTGTTATGGCATAGCGTCTTGGTGCGGATCTCCGCCATGGGCGCCTCACTACTATCGGTCAAGTGCTTTTTGTGTTGTTTATTTCGTCTTTCGGTGCCACTAGCCGTGACAGCTTTGTTCTTCTCAGTCCTTACGTAGCGGAATACACAACGCAGTCGGTGACCATACAAGAAAGCTGGGAGGGCCACAGCAAGATTCCCTTGCTCTTTTGTATTTTTACAATATAATACAGTCGTTAATTCATAACCTCATGACCAGCGAATCTTCATCTTCCACTCGTCGACCTTGGCCTGCCACCATGTCTTTTGGGGGGCCCGCTCGATCTCTTCCATCAGCTTGATGTAGTGGCCAGGGGCAGAGGTCGGCTTGAGGACGGCGGGCGACAGCGGGTACTTGTTGGTGTACCTGTTTTCGAGCAGCGAGAAGAGGGCATTGACCTGGGCTTGCTCGAGTTTGGCGTCTGGCGGGGACGAGGGTGCTGGTGTAGCGGCGGGCGGCGGCGAGTGCGACTTTTTGCTGGCGTCTTCCGGGACAGGAGTCGTGGGCTGCAGGCCAAAGGGTTGTCCGTGGCGGTCAATTGCGCGCGTGAAGGGCAGGTTGGGGCGCAGGGCGTCTCTTGGCCAGAGAGCAGCGAGGCGCGTATATTGCTTTACTATCTTGAAACCGTCAGCGAGGGGGCGAGTGACGGGGAGTGTGTCAGGCATACTGTATTTGCCATGGCTGGGAATGTGTGGGCGTGGGCGTGGGTGTGGAAGCGCGGGCGGGGAGAAGGCGGCAATGGTGAATGAATATTGTCCCCAAAGGCGCCCGATGCAGCAAGAGCAATCCATGATGCGTTCGGGCGGCAGGTGCGGCGGTTCTGTTGGGCTAGCGTGTGGCGCAGCAGCGCCCCCCAGGCAGCCAGGGCAGAGGGCGAGATGCATTTGAAACGCGGCGGCGCCTCTCCCTCACTGCTGCGACTGCCTGCCGCCTGACACGATCCACACTCTCGACCTATTACTATTGCCGCTGGCTTCCCTTCCCTTTTGCCGCCCGCCCTTGTCCATCCATCCCCTCCATCCCCTCCGCATTTGCAGCCACGCTCTCACACTCCCTCTTCTCTCGGCACCCCGTCTGCCCCCTTCTGTCCGCCACACACGCTCTTCTGCACCCAACTCCATCGCCGCGTCCGGCTGTTGTGCACCATGCCTAGCCAGCGCTACGAGAGGGTATGTACACTGCCCTAGTCGGTCGCCGCACATCATGCGACTGCGCAGGCCCCTTACACCGTGCTGCCCCCCAAGACCACGCATTAACTCGCCGCCACAGGTAGCCGCACAAGACGACGATGACCATCTGACATCGACGTCGGCGTCGGCCCAACAGCAGTGGCCGCCCGCATCGCCACCGCCCTCCTTTCACTCTCGCGCATCCTCGCCCAACGGAACATCGCGGCGTCTGCTGTCAGAGGATCCAGTAGCGCAAGACGAAGACCGCACGCTTGCCGACACGTTTGATTCAGACTCGGACGACGACGACGACAACAATGGCGATGATCGACAGCGCCTGATGCGGGGAAACCCTCGAACCGAAGAAGAGCCTCCCGTCCCCGGCATCCAGAGACGCGTTACCGAACTGCCCGTATTCAACACACAAGCACCCAGCAGTGGGCGGGTCTACGGTGGCGGCAACGGTGGTGTATGGGCCAACCTCAGCGCAAAGCCCACACGGGGCGAGGATGCTGAGGAGAAGCCTCCAGTACGTACTAGTCATTGTATCCACCATGTCCCACGTTACTAACTCTGTGTTAGACATACGAACAGGCCGCCGCAGACGCAACACCACCCTACTGGGAAACCACCATTCTCGCTCCCGGCACTTTTGGCGACGAAGTGTTTGTCGAGGGCCTTCCCGTCGGCTCCCTCTTCAGTTTTTTGTGGAATGCCATGATATCCATGTCGTTCCAGCTCGTTGGTTTCCTGCTTACATACCTTCTCCACACCACCCACGCCGCAAAGAACGGATCCCGCGCTGGTCTCGGTATCACGCTTGTGCAGTTTGGTTTCGGCTTCCGGTCTGCAGTCCTCAACCCCAACAACGGCAACAACGACAATCCAGGCCAAGGCTTCAACGGCGGCGTACCAAGCGATCCAAATGCCCACGACTTTGACCCGGACAAGGTCAGCACTGGGGGTTCTGGCGGAAGCGGAGATTCGACACCTGCATCTACTGCGATTACAGGCAGCGATTGGCTAGCGTACGGCCTGATGATTATTGGATGGTTTATTCTGATCAAGAGTGTTTCGGATTTTATCCGCGCGAGACGGCACGAGCAGCTCGTTCTTCAGTCACCTGATCGCGGGCTGGGTGTTGCTGTGGTTGCAGAGGGCGAGAGCCCCGAGCGCAGTGTGTAATTTCTGTCTCTAACCCCATCTCTCTCTCTCTAGTAGATGATATCGCCCTGAACGGGCAGTTTCGTTATTTTCTATTTCTTGTGGCCATTTCTATACATACACAGAGCGTATTCGTCTTTTGCATCTAGGACCGGAGTTGGATACTGTTTCCAGGAAGGGCAAGGCGGGGTATACGAGCATCAACGGCACGTGAGTGGTCTTTTGTAGTACAGACATGCACGGCGAAGGATTCTCCCCTTCTTTTCCCATGCTTTGGTTTTTCCCTTCTAGATGTGTCGTTTTGACGTGAGGTAAGTAAAGGGCAATGTGACAATATAGTGAGAAATGTCTATAACCGGTCCATGTACTCTATACTAATGCTCAAACTACTACTGGTGAAGAGGTAGATGAAGAAATGAGCAAAAAAAAGGGACGAAGGGGGGGGTATCTTGCAAAGGCCTATGTACTCCAAAAAAGATCAAACCAAGATGAAGTAGAAGAAGAAAACCCCGATACACATTCTTCTCCCCAAACACTCACAGGAAGAAGAAAAGATTCCACTACCCCTCACATGACGGTGCATTTCTCATTTGCATACACCTCGCCGTACTGGTCCACGCCAGCCATCATCTCATTGTACCGCTGCTTATCCTTGACTTCATTTGGGAACCATTTTTTGAGGAAGGCAGCTTTTTCCGTGTCGAGGTTATCTATCTCGGGGTTAGTCTGTAATATTCTCTGGGACCAGAAGAAAGAAAGAAAGAAAGAAAGAAAGAGAGAGAGAGAGAGAGAGAGAGAGAAAGTATACGTACCAGAATTTGCATTAAAAATGGTGCGCTCCCTGCAAAACGGACAGTTGTACTGCTTGTTGTTCTGCATGACAATCAGGCAGCGGATGCAAAACGTGTGGTTGCAACTGAGTTTGACAGGCCGCCACTGGATCTCCATGCACATGGGACACGAGTAGTCGTCGATTTGCGGAACGTGCGACAGAATCTGTGTGTTTACCTGTGCGCACACGGCCTTGGCGAGGTGCTCGGAGAACTCTGGGTATTCGACTTGGCGCGGAAACGTGGATTTGACGCCGAGCGCGGTGCGTTTGTCGAATTCTGCGTGTTGTTAGTTTGGTATATATATATGTGTGTGTGTGTGGGTGTGGGTGAGAAAAAGAGAAAGAGACATACTCTTCAGAATCTTGGTCATGGCATTGTGATTGATTTCACCAAACCTCAGGCCTTGTAGAATCTCGCGGTTGATATGCATAAAGGTATTCAGGGCAACTAGGTTGTCCTTCTTCTTCAGCTGCTCGACTAGACCCGCCTTGGCAATCTTGTTGGAAAAGGTAGCTAGGCGAGCCATGGCCTTTTGCGAGTCATGTGATTTGTGATCTAGCTCCGTGGTGCCAAAGAAGATTCCCTCTTCCACGTAGATTTGGAAGATGTGGCGCCACGTGGTGAGCATCTTGCGGGAGGAGCGTCGATCAGGGTCCGTTAGCTTGGCAACCTGCTTGCCAAGGGCTTCGATTTGGACATTCATGCGCTTTTGCTCGCGCTCCTGCAGCTTCTCGAGCCCAGAGACTTCGCTGGTGAGGCGGGTGAAGAACTCGGTGTCTGAAGTGATGGGGACGAGCACCCGACGGCATCCTGGCCGGTTTCCAGGCGCGTTCGAGGCAGCGGGCACAGGCGAGCTGTGGGATGCGGCTGTCTCGACAGAGTTTGCAGACGAGTCTGAGTCGTCGAGCACGCGCATGTCCGACATGCCCGTTTCGACAGCCAGCATGTGAAGTTTTCTTCTCGTTTCGTCGTCGAGCCCTTTCAAATACTCACACTCGGGTACTCAGCTCCTCTACGTAGCGAAACCACAGTACGCTTGCCCTGGCGCCTGATTACATCTACGCCCACAGCCCCCCCCCCCAACCACGGTGCCTGCCCAGCCACACCAGCGACGGCCGGCCCACGGAACCGCGTCGGAAAGCGTGCAAATCCTGGAAACCCCGCCCGGCCCTCGCAACCACTCATCCTGCCCACGTGCGTCGTCAGCCCTACCGCCGCCATGAAGTTTGGCCACCTCTTCAAGCAGATGCTCCGGGACGAGGGCTTTCCGCCCGACTGGGTCGACTCGGCCATCTCGTACTCGCAGCTCAAGAAGTGCATCAAGCGCCTGACCGACGAGCTGCAGCAAGTCGGCCTCGATCCGGCCACGCTGTCCAAGCTGCTCAAGCATGTCGAGGACTACAATGCCTCGACCGAGCAGCACCGCGACCAGGATCTGCCTTTTGAGTACATTCTCAGCCCCGACAGTGCCAAGGACGGCGCGCAGTCGCCCAAGGCCTTCCATCCCAAGCTCCTCTTCTACGTCGACGAGACGAGCGGAGAAGTCGTGGGCGCCAAAGAGACCTGGCCCGCGAACGCATGACTAACGGCAAGTAACGGCGCTTCGACAACGGCGCTTTGCTCCGTCGTCGGTCATGCGCCACCTTTGCCCTGTGCTCGCTCTGGTCTCGTATCCATGCCTTTGCCTTGCACGCCCACACGTCATGTCGGTCCTTCTTTTTCACCCGCCAGCAAGACATCTTCTGTCGATACCCTGGCTTTTCTTGCACGCGTCTCATACTTGGTCAAAAGACCCTGCGTCTATGTTGCCATCCACCAAGTAACCATGTATCACGTGTTTCTTCCTAGGCACAAGACTACCAGATTCCTTGATAATGCCCTTTTCGACATGGCTGCAATCAAGTCGATGTGATGCATTGGAGCTCTGAAAGGGAGAACCCATAGAGGCTATGGAGCTAGTACTATTTGGGTACGAGGTATCTGGCACCACCGGCGGTGCCTTCGCCATATGTACAGATCTCATTGTATGCCACTGCTTGCAACCCAAACAAAAACTGTCCGAAGCCACAAGAATTCTGTGAGGAGCATCCACTCAGCATATGCACTTCCCAACTGGCAATCACATCGCACAAAGTTCAACCCAAGGAAATGGACTATAGACAGGAAGATTGTAGCACAATTATACAACAAAGTCCTTCTCATCCTTCCTAGGTCCCAGGCCTCTCTTTACACCATCTTTTAATACGTCCCAGTTTACACCATCTACCCTCCTTCCACGCGTGCCCACATCGGCAGCAACATCTGCCAGCTTTCCAGTGGCAATCTTGCGCATCATCACTACATCTTGCGCGTTTTGGAATGTGCGCCCCCTGCCCTCTGTGAGGAACTTCTCAATAAACCCCTCTTCCTCTTCACTCAAAGGCAAGCTAACCAGCTCGTATGCTTTGGCGTCCCGTGTGTAAACGTCATGTTCTGGACGCTCTGACCATGCGTCGTGGTCCAGCGTCTCCTCAATGACTATCTCGAGAAGCGGCTTTTGCTCGTACTCTGGTCTGCCGTGTATCCAGTAGTACATCTCTGTGACGTTGCGATTGGCCAGGTACCTCGCAAAAGCGACCCGAATCTTCTCATCCTCGAGCGGCGGCTTAACACAATTGTAATATGCGAGTGCCAGCACATCGTCTTTTGGGTCCCTGACCATGCCCAGACTATTAAGCTTGTCTCGTCCAGTCAACAGAGTATGCATGATTTCGTCCGGGAAGGTCGGTATTATGCTCGGATGTGTCAGATGCCCGACGGCAGTTGAGAATTGCAGGTGGTCGAGAAACCAGAGCCCTTCAACAAAGGTCCAAAACCTCTTCTCGAGATGTACGTCTTTTGCAAAGGCTTCCGAAAGCTCCGTGGTATCATGGTGTTGCGCTGATAGGTCTTTGAGGAGATAAAAGACTAGGCAGTGTTTGTTGTGCAGCGTTGTCTCAGCCGAGACGATGCGCTGATGAAGTTCCTGGAGTTGTTGCGGAGATTGGGGTGGATATAGCTTGCTTCCTGGCGCTCGATATCAGCAATTACCCAGCGCCAGCCTGTGCCAGTATGCGTCGCGGCTTACCTTTGATCTGTAGGAGAACGAGCAAGCGCTCAAAGAATGTGCGACCGCCAAGGGCAGTTCGATATGATTGAATCTCTTGCACGAGACCCTCATTGTAGTAGAGACCGCGGAAAACGGCGTCAAAGTCTTCGACGTCAAGCATTTGGGCGGTTGAAGCGAAGTCCAGGCGGCTTGTTTCGCGCTGGGTTGGTGGTGGACGTGTTGTGGTTGGCGCATCGGAGTTGTGGGGTCGCGCGCTATCATGTGAGTCCCGCCTTGGCACTGGGCCCGGATTTGGGGCTTGCTACCACACCACAAACACCACACATCCCCATCATGGAAGTTGTTTAGCAACGGACTTCGCTACCACACTCTCACGTCGAAATACGCAATGGACATGGGTGATAGACCAGTATATCGCCGGCGCTTGCGTATCGCATGCGACCCATGTCATGAGCGCAAAAGAAAATGTGATGGAGGCCGTCCCTGCAACATGTGCCTTGGCTATGGGTACGACTGCTCGTATCGCCCATCGCCACGGAGCCGGCAATCTCAAAAACACGCAGGCCGGCCTCGAAGCGCAGTCCCACAAGAAGCGAGCCCAGCACCATCCGCAGGAACACTATCACAACAGCTAGATGGTCACCAGCAAGCTATTCAATCACTGGAGCAAACTCAGAATCAACAGCCTCGTCAGCAGCCTCCGCAACAAGCTCGAGATGAGCATATCCAACGAGACGCAGGCAATGAGCAACAGCATTCGCCTACCTATCTACGATCCGTGGAGAGTAACTCTGGCGCGGCCTTTGCACGTCTGCTTACCATGACGCTCGAATCATCTGATCAGAGCGCTTCTCCAATGCGATTGCTGGCATGGAACCTGTGGCTTGGAGAAAGGCAAACCGCGGCCCGGCCAATGCACCACGAGACACTTACAGCGATTCTGTCCGAAGCAGAAATGCGGCATCTGGCTGCCTTCTACTTCAAAAACTTCCACCCGTGCTATAGCTTCATCGACAAAAACATGCTGCTGCAAAGCATATCCAACACGTGGAATGAGCAGAGACGGTCTAACGCGCAGGAAGCCCTCTTGAGTGGCGTCGGGGCCCTCGCCCATCTCTTTTCCAACACTCAAGACATTGAGACTGAGCTGAGTCTTGTTGCGCTTGCTAAGCATCTGCTAGATCCTTCGGTTGCGGACCCCCCGTCGCTGCATAGTGCTACTGCGTGGGTTCTCCGCACTGCATATCTACGGGTCACAGCGAAGCCAGAAGAGGCGTGGCTAGCCAGCTGCACTGCTCTCCACATCATCGACGCAGCAGGTCTGGTAAGCAATACCAGCCGTGGTAGCGCCTTTACCGCCTCTCAAGATCCTGTAAACATCCATCTTCGCAAGAGAGTCATTGGCGTAGCGCAGCACCTCAACATATGGATGTCATACGACCTGGGTCGAAGTCGTGTATCCCTCCCCAATATCGACACGGCTCCGCCATCCCCACAGCCGGGAGAATACACAGTGGAACTACTGGATATCCTCCCGTACTCTCAAGACTTGGATCCAACCAACGAACTCGGCGTAGACAGCCTTGTTGCAGCGTTAGTCGACGTTTTAAACCGCACCCACACTGAGGCGCCATCCGTGCTCGCCCAGTGCAACCTGATGCTATGCATCCATCGGCGGCTGCACGCCTCCAAGCTCGAGGTTCCAGAAACCCTCATAAGCAAGGTTCTCGCTCTGATTCGCAAAGGCATCCATGCCGTCCATGCCAATGTGGCCGCCGCCCTGCCCTGGCACCACGTCGCCTACATCCCGTTCCAAGCCGTCTGCACCCTCCTTGTCATTGACACCGTGCAGTCCTTTGCTCTGCTATCCGAAGCCCTAGCCTGCGTTATCGCCGTGCATGATGCGTATCCAACCGACGCGACGCGCGAAGCGGCTGCTGCGGCATGCACGCTGCTCAAGCTGCATCGGCGGCGAAGGGAAGCAGAGCTCAAGAAGCATTCCGACATGCTCAGCCTGTACCCATCTGTAGATTTCCCATTCCACGACGGCGACGGCGATGCACTCAGCGGGGCTTCGTTGCAGGATTTGGCCTGGTTCAACGAGTTCCTGGCACATTCGAACCCAGGGCTAGACCTTGATCCACTGATGCAGGCGTTGTAGTATTTAAAATGCAATGGAAGATGTCGTTCCTGATGGAACTACCCTATAGGGCGTTTATCTCTAAGTAGTTCTTGGAATCACGACTTGACGAACGAGCAATGCCAACTCAACCGCTACAAACCAGACCTAGAATCCAACTTTACACGGGATTCCATAACCTTCTAGCTCATCAAATCCACGCCCATTCCAACCGTGGTAAACCTCCGACGCCGCTTAATCGCAGTCATACATTTTTTTTTGTATCCGCACCGCAATATCCGCACTGCGGGCGCCGCAACATCCGCACCATCACACCGCCCAACCAACCAACCACGGGCCTTTTCACAACTCACCTGCACACTTCACTCCTGGTCCTGCATAGCTCCAGCATGTACAGCCACCCCAGCACACTTTATGTACATGTGAAAACCGCACATTAAATGCACTGATTACCATATGAAATTATTTCCTATCTAGCAACAAGTTTTGCGTACATACATGTATACATGTACATAGATAGATAGAGAGATCGCATAGTATCCAGTCTATTAATCCTATCATAAACAAAATAGCATTAGTGTACCGCCGTGTGTTAAGCCATGAAATCCAATCCAACACAACCCAGTCCAGTATAGTCCCAAGCCAAACCAAGTCAACACCACACATCGTGCTTGCAGCTAGACAAATCAACGCATCAAACACGTATATGCATACTTGGATAAACAGCCACATCGGTATCAAGTAGAACAAGCTTCCAAACAAGAAATTAAATTAAGAGCCAACGGTGCAACGGAGCGGAACTACGTACTTACGTAGCTAGACCTACACATATGCGGATATAGCGGGTAACATTGCGGAAACGAAAAAAAAACTCCACCTGCCAAATGAAGGAAGAGGAGGAGGGCATGTAACACAATCAAACGTAGAAATATGTTATTTCCGTTTTTTTCCCTTCTCTTCCTCTCGAACGTATTGCTTGGACTGAGCTATTGATGTTGTCTAGGAGACCAAAAAAAAAGGAAGGAAAGAACGAAATAAGGGTATGTGCGGTAGATTTTCTTTCTTTCTTTCTTTCTTTCTTTCTTGTCCATGACGAAGGGTTGACACACACATAGTCACTCAGTCGCTCACCCGTCCAATCACTCATTCACTCGGAAAGCCGTCCAAATAACAAGCTCGCTGCGGAAAGGGGATATATGCCCACAAGATCCCCGGCGTCAGACTTACCCTACAAAAAGAGGAGGAAAAAAAGAATGCAGGAATCCATTCGACAACGCGGAGAAAATGAAGACGAAGAAAAAAACGACAACCAAGATACCATGGACGAGGGTCTAGAAATGGGGGCCGGAAAACCGAATCCAGCGCCTTGTCCAGAGCGGAAAGTATACGTGGTGGAATTCAGTTTACCCTACGACGCGTGGAATCCGCAGCAGTGGACGTCGTGGAAAAAGTAAGCCAGGGTTTTTTTTTTCCTCCTTATATACCCACATTATACACATACACATATAGGCAGGCCAGACCAGGCTAACGCGGGATAACTCGGGAATCCAGATTCTACATGTCGAGCATTGCATGTAGCACCACGCTCGTGGCGTCACTCAACAGCGCCATTTGGGCCGCGGGCGCCGCACCCGCAGCGGCAGACTTTGGCGTCGGGAAGCAAGTCGTGAACCTAGGGACCAGTCTCTTCGTGCTCGGCTTTGCCTCGGGCCCGATGTTGTGGGCACCGGGATCCGAAATCATGGGACGGCGGTGGCCACTGTTCGTGGGGGCATTTGGGTCTTGTGTCTTCACGTTTACGTGTGCGGCGGCGAAAGATGTCCAGACGTTGATTATTTGTCGGTTTTTCGCAGGCTTGTTTGGTGCGAGTCCGTTTTGCGTGGTGCCCGGTGTGCTGGCGGATTTGTATAACACTACGTACCGCGGCGTGGCGATATCGCTGTATGCGCTGACGATTTTCGGGGGCCCGTTTGCCGCGCCGTGGATGGGTGAGTTTGTTGCCAAGAGTCCTCTCGGGTGGCGGTGGACGCTTTACTTGCCTGCTATCCTGGGCTTGGCGAACTCTTTCTTCCTGCTGGTGTTTTTCAAGGAGACCTGTGCGCCGGTTGCGCTTGTCGGCAAGGCAATGCTGATGAGGCGGCAGACTGGAAACTGGGCTATTCACGCGGAACAGGAAAGGCTCGAGCTCGATATCCATGCCGTGGTGAGCAAATATCTTACGCGACCGCTGCGGTTGCTTGTGACGGAGCCCATTGTGCTCTTGGTGTCCGTGTACATGTCGTTCATATATGGATTGGTCTACGCGCTTCTCGGGGCATATCCGTACGTCTTTGAGCATGTCTATGGCATGCCGACTGGAGTCCGCGCATTGCCTTTTCTGGGGTTATTTTTAGGCGTCGTTTTGGGTTTGATATTGATCCTTTGCCAGCACAAGTCTTACTGTCGTAAGCTCGAGGCAAACAACGGCAGAGCCTTGCCGGAATGGCGACTTGGCCCTGCCATCTTAGGAGCCGTCGTATTCGCTGTTGGCCTATTTTGGTGAGTCGTGCTATAACATATAACCCGAAGGCATGGATCAAAGCTGACTGTTCCGCCAGGTTTGCTTGGACTGGGTTTACTAATACAGTCCATTGGATGGCGCCGACCGCCGCCGGTGTCTTTATTGGCTTTGGTGTGCTCTGTATTTTCTTACCGTGCTTCAACTATCTTGTTGATGCGTTCCTGCCCCTGTAAGTAATGCTTGACTCTCAATGTCTGCCATTCCTGGCTGCATCAGCTGACACGTCAACTCGCATAGAGCGGCATCCGCGGTAGGAGCCAACATCATGCTTCGCTCAGCGATTGCCGCTGGGTTCCCTTTGTTCTCTACTCAGATGTTTGAGAATCTCGGTGTGCAATGGGCAGGAACGCTTCTCGCGTGTCTCGCTACAGTCATGATACCGATTCCCGTGGTTTTCCGTGCCTATGGGCCGACGTTGAGAGCCAAGAGCAAGATACTGAGAGAGTTTTCGGCTGTGTCTTGAGTGAGAATTTAGTCTCAAGAAAAGGAATCAACATCAACCTCGACAAAAAATCATGTATATAGACAGACGCGTGTATCATAAAGCCTGGTTTGCCAAAGGAAATTCGATACTATACCGGCCATGAATGATATCCGCGGAAGGATTCATGTCTCGCCTGATGATTGCAAATCCAAAATGCGCCTTGGCGTATCCGGCCGATGGTGCTGATGGTGGGCAGACTACACTCTTAGGCAGAAAGAAATGCTCCCTCGCTGTGTAGGCGAAGCTGTGAGCAGATAGCGGTCAGACGTGGGTGACGTGATGGCATAAATTGCATAGCCAACCCCGCATGTGTCGGTTTGTTGGGAATATGTATAATCCTTAGCAAGACGACTAATGGGTCGTCTTCGGAGAGCGCCGCAAGGATGTGTGGCATGACAGGCAGACGGCGAGCGAGGGAACTGGCAACCTCTCGGACGATTGGGACGCGGAATCGGAACTGCAAAGCTCCAGACGCCGAAGAGTGATAATATGGGAAGAAAAGTCGATATTCTGGGCATCGACCGCCATGGAAACTTGAGGTCAGATGATGTCAGGACTATTGTCCAAGTAGGCAAAGCCGGCATGCAGCCAGGCGACGCAGTTGTATGCGACCCCACCCGTCCTTGACGTTTCACAAGGCGTGCGTTGAGTGATCGGTGATAAATCGTGGTGTGAGGGCTGACAGACACCGCAAGAACTAGGCAGAAGCAGGTGTGCTTGTTCCGTGCGTACATATATGAGTCAAGGCCAGGGTTGTCCAACTGCAGGGCTCAGTGGCTGCGTGGCTGCTCACAATCGATGGGGGTCGTCTGATGTAATACTTGGGGCGCCGGCAAGGTGGTACACCGGAGGAAGCGCGGGCAAAGTCGCCAAACGCAAAGCCTTTTATTCTGGAGCCGGGGTGGAAGCTGGCGGAAAACAGCCCCGTTGCTCGAGGCCACAGCGTGATGGCGCAGTGGGAACATGTCGCGATGCTGTCGCCGCGAGCCACAGCATATGCCAGGGCGGAAGTGGCCGGATGCACACAATTTGCACGGGAATCGGCGCATGTGCAGCCAGTGGCCAGCGCGTAGAATAAACCCGTCGGCTGACCTCGCCTTGCCAAGTGGGCGCAAAGCTTAAATGGATTAGACATGTGTCTTCACGTGATGGCGATCCATGCCAGCAGCCCACATGGCATGCGAATGGCTCGGACGAAGCGTGGAGATAAGCGGACATGGCCATTTGCGCACCACTGCGGGTAAAAAAAAAAGAGGCTGCGCGCCTGTGTGTAGACGACATGCGCCGGCGAGGGTTTCCGGGCGATCTTGGACACGGCTGCGGTGATCGCGATGACTTCTCGATTTGGTCCCCTTGAGGCGACGAGCAGATGGCCGAGACGGATGGTGGGACAGACCGAAGCCGGACCAAGAGGGCTAGACCTGGGCAGCTGCCAGTCGCGGATATGACGTCGTAGCGGTGCTGGCGGGCGGGCGGGCTGCAACAAGAGCGCGCGGGTGCGACAGGCGGCATCGCTGGTGCAGTGGGCGGGTGGTGCTGGACAGGTGGCGGGCTGCGAGCGAGGGTGAAGGGGCGTGCCAGCAGAGGGCCCAAAACGCCCTTAGCGGTGGCTGACGGAAACCAGATGGGCATCAGAGGAATGGGCGTAGTGGGAGTGGGAGTGGTGGTGTAGGCCCAGCGCTGCCGCGGCGGGCCCGTGCGTGCCCCACCCATACGCATCCACGCCCATACACACCCACTGCCACAACTGCATCAGGGCGTGGACGTCACACTTGGCCGCCGCCAGACGTGCGATGCATTGTCATCCCGACTCTTCTCCCAGCTGACAAACACCTGTGGCCATGGCTGTTTCTCATTCGCAGTTCCGTAACTTCCGGCGCCAGTGGTATACATGCAACCTGCCCCCCCCCATAGGGACGCACACCTGCACGCATACAAAACTCTGGTACTGCGGCTGCTTCGTTTGCTGTTTCCCTTGGACTTGCCTTGTGTCCTCTTCCCTTGCTGCGCGCACTCCTACTTGCTGCCGTCTTGCTGTACATAGGCTGCACAGTACTCTCTCCCCCCATCTCATCTCTCCCATCTCCTACTGTGCGTTTCGCAGCGCATTCTTCCCAAGGCTCATAGCATTTCATTGAACATTTTCCCCTACATGTCGGGTCGCCGGGGTGCGGCGATGGCTGCTGCGGCGCTGCTGCTAGAATTCTTGCCGCGGGTGGTTGCCCACGGTGACGACCATGGGATGGACATGGGCGGCCAGGATGCGCCCAGCGCGCCGCCTCAGGATGCCGGGTTCGGGGGCTACTGGGGTCTTTCTGAGCATGTCTCGCTCATGTACTGGCACATTGCGCTTGAGATAGTGGCGTGGGTCGTGGTGCTGCCGCTCGCCGTCATGTTCAGCATCGCGCGCTCGCCATTTACCCTACCCTCGCAGTTAGTCTTCCTCTCTACCAATGCACTCGCCCTCGTCCTTGGCCTTGTCTACAACCACAACACTCCCGAAATGTACGCAGGAAATGCGCACAGCAAGACCGGATGGGCCATCACCTGGATTGCTTCGGCGTGGGTGTTTTTGGCCCTGGTTCAGGCCTACGCCAGCACCACCGGCCAGCACGCAGCCGACGATGAATTCAAACACCCCATGACGACGGCAAACATGCTCAGGTACCAGCGCGTCCAGGGCGAGGAGCTCCCCAGCCCATCCCGCTGGTCGGACGACTCTGGACAGGGCACCGAGCGCAACTCGGCCTCGCTGTACGACACATCGCAGTCGCCCAGCGTCGAGTCGGAGAACCAGGAGTTTGCCAGTCCACCACGTAGATACACACATGACGACGACTCTTTCGGCAACGACAACGACAACGAGAAACACGGCCTGTTACGCAACACGTCAGTAGACCGCTTCTTCGCCCGGAACGTTGCCCGCTTTGCAGCAGGCCGCACACTAAAGGCGATGCGCTTCTTCTACGTCGCAGTAGAGCGCACCATCCTGGTCCAGGGCCTGGTGGCCATCATCTCGGGTGCCGTCGTCTACGGAGGCATTGGCAGAGGAGGTGCCGTCTTCAATGTCCTGGCGCACACAATCAAGGGCGGCATCTTCTTCGTGTACGGGTTCCTGACACTGGGCCGGTGGATGGGTGCCTTTGCCGACTTTGGCTGGGCGTGGAATGTGAAGCCGCCAAAGGAGGTGGTCGGTCGTAGGCGGGCGGCGCTACCGTCGGCGGAGTTTACCGAGTCGTTTGTCATCTGGCTGTATGGCTGCTCCAACGTGTTTCTCGAGCATCTGGCGGCGTGGGGCGATGCATGGACGGCGCAGGATCTGGAACACGTTTCCATCTCCATCATGTTTTTCGGCGGTGGCTTGGTGAGTAAACCCACTGTGGGTCCTTCACTGTCTTGGCGCCCTCGGCTAACCTCCTTCCTAGTTGGGCATGTGCATCGAGTCGAGCAAAGTGCGCGAGCTCCTCAACAGCAGCGTCGTCGCCTCGCAGCCCGCCTCGGTAGAGCACGAGTCGTGGCAGCAGCCGCGCCAGTACCGCTTCTCCATGAACCCTATGCCCGCCCTCATCATCATGCTGCTCGGCAAGATGATGAGCTCGCACCACCAGACGTCCATGGTCTCGACCATGATCCACACACAATGGGGCAGCATGTTCATGGGCTTTGCACTGGCGCGTTGCCTCACCTACATCACCTTGTACATTTCGCCGCCCACGTCCTTTCTGCCCTCTCGCCCGCCTACCGAGATCATCAGTGCCTTTTGCCTCATCTCGGGCGGCATCACCTTCATGGTCAGCAACAAGGACACGGTCGCGGCTCTCGAGTCGTACAACCTCGATGCCATGTTCATCTTCACGGTGGTCATGGGTCTCACGGCGCTGCTCATGGCCTGGACGACTGTCGTCATCGCCATCAAGGGCTGGGCCTTGCGCAAGGAGAGTTCCAGCCAGTACGTCAAGGGCCATGCCGGAGCCTTGGCCTAAGTCGCCATGGCCGCTGCATTGCTGGCCCACTCTCCGTGGTATGCTTTGAAACCGGGCGTTTCACCTGATACCCTGCATGTTCCTTTTTACGACTTGTAGCTTTTTGTTTTCATGATATTACTGCAGTATACCCTCTTTGCCTAAGGATGGCGACAGCCTGGATAGCTGCATGAACAACCTTAATCGTTGCGGTAATGATGGTAGTAATGACGACGGGCTTGGACGGGCGGGCTCCTTTGGTGAAGGGAGGCCGTGGTAATCATAGCTGGATAATGAATCTGTATTCCTGCCAATGGTCATGTGGACGGCTCTCGAACCAAGTAGTGGAGAACACTGAAGGTGAAATTGGGCTTGAGCCTTCTCATCATGCTGATCAATTGTGTACTCAACTGGGTATCGCAGTGCAACATTCCAACCCTCCCATGGCCGATTGACTTGTTCATCGCGCCCCTCTTCCCCGCGCAGCAACGCCTCTCGCGATGCCCGTACCGCCTCTTGTGCCTCGTGTTGTGCCTCCGCGTGTCGGGATGCCGCCACGTCCACCAGCCCGCGGGATACCTCCCCTCCCTCTTGGTAAGCCGGATGTTTTGGAGGCGGGCGCGGGCGTTTGCGGGGGCTGGAACTTGGACGAAATCTTGCTGCTCGGGGGATGATCGACAAAGGACGTGTCGGTGGTCAGGAACGTCGCCTCCATGTCCTCTGGCCCCTGCGAGCGGTTGAAGTTGGGCGCCCCGCCGTCGGGGTGGTTCTGTGGCCGGTTGAAGGATTCGGGTATCGGGGCCTGGAGAGGGCCGTCAGCAGCCGTGGGGCGAGTGCCTCATGTCCAGGTCCGCCTCTTGCATACCTCTGGAAAGTCGACACAGAAAGCATTCATGTTCATGCCGTAGAGAAAGGCGGCAAAGCTCTCCGAGAAGCGCGCCAGGCTCTCGTGCATCAGCTGCAGCTGCACAAAGTTCTGCTCCAGGTCGGCCATTGCGTCGCTCAGCTCGGCGAAGCCATCCTGGAGGCCTTCGAGGGCATTGCCCGAGGCAGAGGCCGCACGCCCACGCTGCGAAGAGTCGCGCAGGGACGAGCGCGACGAGGGGCGGAGAGGCGTCGTGGGGCGGGAGCGGGGGGATTTGCTGCGCGTGCGGCGGTACGAGGGCGTGGCGGTGGGCGTTGTCGAGGCCATGGCGGGTGTATTACGGCGCTGTTGTGCTGTGTGTATAGTACATGTGCATGTATGCTGTAGGCGTAGGTCACTGGGCACGAGGCGGGGACGACACAGTAAACAATCACAATGGCAACGTTGGTAGTGGTAGCACGTACCCCACGCAGCCTCCACGCAGGGCAAAGGCGCTAGGACGCTTTGGTCGATGATGCCATTGCCAGTGCCGAACGTCGCTTCGCATGCCAATGCCAATGCAGATGCAAATGCAAATGCGCTGCCTTCGCGTAGAGCAATCCCAATCACAATTCTGCCCTCTGGCCTCGCTCACGACGGCGCGCGCCTGGCCAAGCAACGCCCTCTCACGCTCACTCCCACCCTGGCGGGCCGCTGATATCCCGCGCCCACGCCCTGCCTGCCGTCGGTCGTCCGTAGAGGTGCGAAACACACTCGGATCCGTCCCATCCGGCAACTTCAGCCGACGTCACCCTCGTTGGGCGCCCCGGTCTTTGTCATATCCAGGCCCAGCGAGCTGATATTCATGTTGCGGCGCGCACAGCCCCTACGACGACAATTCCAGCATCCCCTCATAAAGCTTCGACCCTCGACCCGTCTGCAGCGCCGCGCCCCCTTCCTCGCCTCCTATAGCCCCGCCTGCCCACCCACGCGCCCACACACTCCTGCCCGCCGCCTGCGCTACACGAAACCCCAGACGAGTGGCTTTGGTTTCTGGACAGTGGCAATCGTTGCGACCGTTTCAATTGGCGGTGCGCTACTCGTTCCCTTGACACGCTCCGCTTCCGACACAGAGGCACTTAAACCACTCCCCTCCGCCCAGTCGGCAGCCCAAGACCTAACAGACTCGTACCTCGCCATGCCACCCAACACTCCCGCCGGCCGCCCGGGCACCCTGACGCCCGACCAGGAGAAGAAGCTGCGCGAGCTATGGGCCATCGTCATGAAGGTGTTTAGTGGAGATGCGGGGTCGGAAGAAGCAAACGGAACCGCGACCAACGGCCACGACGACGCCACGGCGCCCGACGCAGCACCGGCAACAGACGGCAAAAAAGACAAGAAGCGCAGTCGCCTGAATGTCTTCAAACGAAACAAGGGCGACAAGGCTGCAGACGACAAGGCGCCGTCGCCCTCCGACTCGCTTTCCTCCATCGACGTCAGCAAGTTGAACCTCGCTGCCGACGACGACAAGTTTGGCCAGACGGCAGCGTACAAGGCGGCCCTGGCCAACATCCCTCCAGAGGAGCTCCGCAGGGCCTTTTGGGGCATGGTCAAGCACGACCACCCCGACGCCCTGCTCCTTCGTTTCTTGCGCGCACGGAAATGGGATGTGGAGAAGGCGCTGATCATGCTCATCTCGGCCATGCAGTGGAGAGTAAAGGAGGCGAGTGTAGACGACGACATTATGAAGAACGGCGAGCTCGCCGCGCTCGAGACTTCAAAGAGCGACGCCAAGAACAAGAAGGATGCCGAGGATTTCATGACACAGCTGCGCATGGGCAAGAGCTACTTGCATGGGCTCGACATTGAGGGACGGCCCATATGCCACGTCCGCGCAAGACTACACAAGGCCGGCGACCAGTCGGACGAGACTCTGGAGCGCTTTACCGTCTACACCATCGAGACGGCGCGTATGCTTCTGAGGCCTCCTATTGACACAGCTGTAGGTTGTCCAACATGGCCACAGGCCAACCGATGGGTATTGATACTGACGCCTGCAGACTGTCATCTTTGACTTGACCGACTTTTCCATGGCCAACATGGACTACACGCCTGTGAACTTCATGATCAGATGCTTCGAGGCAAACTATCCCGAATCGCTCGGCACAGTCCTGGTCTATCGCGCGCCCTGGGTCTTTAATGCCATCTGGGCCATTGTCAAGGGATGGCTGGATCCCGTGGTTGCCAGCAAAGTGCACTTTCCCAAGAACGTGCAAGACCTGAGCAACTTTATACCAAAGTCACAGATACCCACCGAACTCGGCGGACAGGAACAGTGGGAGTACAAGTACGTGGAGCCCGTGCCCGGAGAAAACGACAAGATGAAGGAAGAAGGGCCCAGAAAAGAGCTGCAGACGGAGAGGCAGTGCGTCATTGACAAGTACGAGACTTCGGTAGTCGAGTGGCTGCGTGCGGGCGACAGTGCATCGCATGACGACAGGAGGAAAGAAAGAGACGCTCTAGCAGAACAGCTACGACAGAACTACTGGAAGCTGGATCCATACATACGAGCGCGTTCACTGTACGACCGCATTGGCGTCATCCAGAGCGAAGGCAAACTCGACTTTTACCCCCAAGCCAGTGCCGCCAAAACGAGCGCCGACGACGTCGACTAGGACGGCAAGGGTCAAGTCGTCGGGCGGTGTAGCACGTGTCGAGACATTGCCCATGCATGTGCATGTAAGCAGTAATAAAACGCTTTCTTTTTTCCTTCACAAGCCTTGCAGTTGGTATGGTGGTCACTAATACTTTTCTGTTTGGGTATTGTCTAGACGGTGGCAGCATCGCAGACTATGTAGAAGGTTAACATGGAAGGTGTTGCAAGGATCCTGTCTATCAAAGCAAGAAACAGAAGAAGAGAGGTAGACATTGGATAGGGCCAACGTATACTTTTTGTTATTTTAATTACAGCTACGTACATAATGATGGTCGTTTCCACGTCTGTTGGTAGAATGACCCACGTCTGTTGATAGTTCTGCTGCTGATGCTGATGATGCTGATGATGCACTACTTTGTTTTGTTTTGTCTGTGTGTGTGTGCACTCTCACACACCTCACCGTATTTTACTTACGAGTTGCGCAATGAGGGGGGGGGGCTCTCGTATGCGCTTCTCGTATACCTGCGCTTGATGTGGACATGGGGCTAGTGGTAATACGAATGTGAATGCAAATGCAAATGTAAATATGAACACCATGTGAATGCGCTGTGAATGTAAAACCAAGGAGAGTGGACATGGACATGGACATGGACATGGAGGTGTGTGTGTGTGCGCCCAACGCACATACTCAAACACACCGTCTTTTGTCGCGGAAACCGCCAATGAAACGTTGTTCAAGCGCGGCGAGTCAAAAAAAGGGCGGGAAAAGGAAAAGCAGGAAAAAAAAAGGGGGGAGGGGGGGGAGCGGATGGCCGGCGGAGGTTAGTTGGGTAGCTTAGTAGATACTAGCACTAGCTAGACTTGGTATGTTACATAGCCAAGTAGACAGTAGGCCAAGTCATTCTATCAACAGACGTGCGTCATTCATTCGCAAACTCTTCCCCATTCCACACTCCCCCCGATTCCCCTTGTTTCCCTTAATCCCGCATTCATCCCAGTCGTTATTATTCCCGGAGAAAAAAAAACTAGACTGGGGGGTCTGAGTGTCTGAGTGAGTGTGTATGTGTCATCCAGGGTGGGAGGGGGAAAGGGGTAGTGGGCCCAGAGCTTCTTCGATCGAACCAAGTGAGTCAAGTGGGCATATATAGTATAGTATAGTCTCAAGTATTTCCTCACGATCGAAACCAATCTACACGATCGAGAAATGATATGTGTGTGCATGACAAAATAAATCAGCTGCCAACACACACACACACACACACAATACAGCCCTACCCCGAAGCGAGAGAAGGGGAAATAAAAAAAATAAAGGTTGGGGAGAAAGAGAGGCCAGCTGTCTTTTTGCTAAGAACAGGATAAGAAAAGTGTAAAAGTAAAGGTAAAAGGGCATGGAGGAAAGGAAGGGGGGAGAGGCAAAGACCGAAAGAAGAAACGGTGAGTATGTCAAAAGCCAAAGCCAAATCTAAAAAAAGTACACATCCCCAAAAGAGAAACAATCACAGAAAAAACAAATAATCCGTATTTTTTGGATTTCTTTTTTCTCCTTCTTTCAGCCCTTTTCTTTTCTTATTCTTCCAAGGAAGATACATAAGTGGACATGACCACGTACTTGTAATATATATATATATGTCAAGAAGGGAAAGTGTGTAATAATTTTTTATTCCTCGATCTAGAAATCGTGAAATCGTGAAATCGTGAAATCGTGAAATCGTGAAATCGTGAAATCGAAAAAAAAGATGAGAATTGGAAATTCTTCGATTGTACTAGTGTTACGGCGATGGGCGGCGCTGCGACGTCATTTCCCGCTGGCGCTGGTGAGCTGTGTGTGTGTGTGGTGGGGGGG